CTCGACGGCATTCCCCAGCTGGGCCACAGCCGCTTGCCCTTGCGGCCCCATAAGCCAAGCGAAGGACCGCTAGCCGACAAAGCCAATGCCATCTTGGAGAAACAAGCGAAAGGCGTAGGCAAAGGCAAAAGCAAGCAACAGATTTAGGGACAGCTCCGTTCGAGTCCAGTTTCACCTACGTCGCACGCTGCAGGTCAACATGTTCATGAGGTGAATAAGACGAGGAACGTACAGTCATAGCGTGATTTGGATGTTGATGCAACAGCCAGCGATAGCCAGACAAATGTGTCAAGTTGCGGGTGCTTGCATGGGTGGGTTGTAAAAACAAAGAATGCTCGTTTACATTCCGATGCCAGGCTCATTGAATTATTGGGCGGTATGCAGCGTCCGAATGATTCCTGGGACGTGGTGTTGTTTTCGGTGACCGCTGTAATGACACAAATACCGCATTCCATGCAGCACGCAATCATTTTCACCGCGTTGTTAGGACTGCCAAATCAACATATTGGTCCGGCAGCCGTACGTTTTGATTCTCAGTTGTCGGACACGTGCGATGTTGAGGATGGTATTGGTCAGGGAGCAGTCCTGAGTGGGTCTCGTGCACCTGCCTTCTACTTTAAGTCTGACACTTATTTAGGGGTTTCCTTGCGTGACAATTTGTCTTGGAAGGGGCACATTGTCAATTTGCTTGCTCGTGCTGAGCGAAAGATGGCGAGCTGCCTGTTTCGGACCAGGTCTGCAGACCTGCCTCTGTCATTGTGGAACGCATTTATCAAAGATATGTGCATTCTTTTGTCTGCTTTGGATTGGAGTTTGTTCCCGCAAACTCGCAGCACGTTTTCAAACCCGTGTCCTTCAGTGGGGTCGGCGTCTTCTGTGTTGGCCACGTGGTTCACCCAAGCTCGCGCTTGGGTGGGTGATGCCGAAACGATGCGTCTCGTTCAAGCAGCTGGTCTATGGGCCCGCCTGTGGAGCTTGCCACCAGACTGCTTCGCAGGACAGCTCGCCCGCCCGGTGTGGTCGTCATGACTTTGCTGACGGGCAGACTGCTCGACATTGTGGTCGTAACTCTGATGCACCGTGTCGCTTCTGCGCATCAGGTGCAGACACCCTCACACATGCATTGACAGAATGCCCCGCGCACAATCTTGCGTGCAGACGCTGGTGTCAGCAAACTCGTGGACGAACCGACGTGTCCTTGCACACTTTGTTTTGCACAGATCCCGCAGTTAGCACAGCTGAAGACATTCTGCGAAGCGTTGCGTTTGTTGGCGCTGTGTGCCAAGCAGCTGCCGCGTGTGAAACGTGATCTGAGCCGTAGTGCCGTAGTAGACCATCGTTTCAGCCATGAACATGTTCACAGTTTCATGTTGTTGTTAATTATTGGTCCGCTGCCTCACTGACGCGCATGGACCAGCCTGCCTCCGAACAGCCTCTGCGGCCCGTGGGATGCTTGCAGCCGAAGGGTGGAACGGTCTTCCGCTTTGGAGCGCTGCCCAGCTCGCAGTTGACACGATGCTTGTGTCTGCCTTGGACTCGGCAGGGCAGGCCCGCCGCCACCAGCGCTCCACTACCGGCGCTGCCCTACGCATCGCCCGCACGGCGAAGGAGCGGACATACCCCGAACTCCTCTGTTCCGCGCGGTGCCGGCTCGTTGTGCTCGGAATTGAGCTGTGGCCGCTGGAGCACTGAAGCTGCGCAGTTCATCCGACTCCTTGCACAGCTCCTGCTCTCGAGTGCCACCGCTGCGTATGTCGCCCGCTGGTCTGCTTTGCTTTCTTTCGCAGCCGCCCGTGCTCTCGCAGCGAGGACTGCTTGGACTTGAGTGACCTTCTCGGGGCTGCGCACGAGGCCCTTCCCCCCTCTCTCCCCAACCGCCTGCCTCCGCGCGGCTGAGTGGATTTCGAGTGGACTTCGCGTGGACTTCGTGGACTTTTCGGCCGCCGTAGTTTGTGCACTGGGACCGCGAACGGGATTTCATCGGGAAGAGGTGCGTGTGGGGAAAAAACGACAGGGTGGGCAGACGTGTTTTCCTGGGAGCTCCTGGCGCAAGGAGCACGTCC